AGGTTCTTATGTGTACAGTTTTTGAAGAATTGCTGTCTCAGACTCTTATGGCATGATAGAGATTTCTAACTTTTTAAAAACGTTGCTCTCAAAGTTCTAAGAGGATAAATATTAAGTTGCAACAGTGCCACCTGCTGGGCATAATGTGGTAAAGCAAGTATGACCTAAACTGTTACTATCACAATACCCGTTGTTATTGCATATAAGACTCAGAATGCGCAAGTTACAGTAGTAATCACAGACGCACTGCACATGGAATCTTGGGCAACCTTATATGTTGGGTGCCCAACACTGAACCCAATAACTTGGCAATTAAGTCACTGAAAATACAAACAGCGAGAACAAAAAGGCTTATTTCTTTGCATCTTGGTGTATTAAAATCCATTTAAATCTGGTCAGCAAGCAAGTCAGTGTCACCATCACACAAAAGTTTGTGCTAGATCTGGTTCTCAGAGATAGAGATAACAGAATTGGGAGCACATCCATTGAACCGGTGTCTGTAAGCACCAGAATGACCTGATGAAGGTAGGAAAAACATTCCAAGTAGCTAGCACTTTACAGGAGTTAGGAAATTGAACTTAAAGTTCCCTCAAGAATATGAATTGGTTGTTTCCCAAATACTGGGTGAAGTTCCAATGGTTCCAAAAGATAGAACATATAGAAATAAGAACTAATTAAATAAAAAAAATACATAGTAACACTTGTATGTCAGAGGGAAAATAAGGTGAATCTTAGCACAAAAGTGATGTCAAAAGCCAACCATAATCCTGGGATAGGTGCTCAGTAGTGTGACAGATAAAGACCGGGGAATTGTCTCTCTGTTTTAGGCAATGCAGGGTTATGGTGCTTACACAATAGCCAAAATTATAGAAAATGAACAAAATTGTGGCAAAAAGACTATTATTTTGCTCAGAAAGAAAGAACTCTTTTTATATTTAAGTGCAAGACCAGGCTTTTGAGAAAATCTGTTTATTCCCTTCTTTGGGATCTCTAAAGATGAATCCTAGAATCCCTTCCAGCTCTGTAAGGCCATGATTTAATCCTTGGTTCTAAGCAAATAAAAGAACCCTAATTCAGTACAGGACACTGTCACCAGAAAATAATATATTTAATTGGTAGTTTATGAATGTGACCTTGGTTAAAAACAATGTCTCCACTACTTATTAACCGAGAGACCCTAAGCAAGCCTCTCTCAATCTATTTATCTGTAGGATGCCTTTTTCAGAGGTCTATCCTGATGATAGAGTGGAATAATGTTTGTGAGCTGTTCAGCACAGTGCCTATCCCCTAGCAAGCACTCTCAAAAGGGGGAAGCTTTCATTTACTGACGAGTAAATGAAAATTAAATGAAAATGAGCCTTTAGAACAATGCCTGACCCAGAGTAAGCACTCAATTTTTAATGAAAAGTTATGAATTACAAATGGAATTTAAAGTAATATAGCTTCTTTACCTTCATACAAGCAGTATCATAGTATCTTGGGAAAAAAATTCACCACTAATTATGTGTCTCTGGGCAAGTCCCTAAAACCTCTGCATTTCTGTTTCTTCTCTGCAAAATGAGAGTGCAAGTGGATTAGATGACCATTTATGTGTCTTCCAACCTGGTTCTAGAAGGAGGTTCTAGACAATACCAGAGCTTAGTATACACAATAAATGTATAATATGCACTCTGTAAAACTCCAGCTGTGAACTAAGAAATAACCAGTGACCAATAGTAGAATTAAAAACTTAAAATTCACAATAGCCCTACAATATAAAGTACCATAAACATAAAAGTCTTTTCATTATTTAAGGACTGATTAAATAATGAATAATTGCTAGATACAGAATCAAGCACAAACATAGATATTTGAATTTCAATTTTCATATAATTTCCTTTATATTCACACCGAGAAATTATTTTGAGCCTCTCATTCTGTAAAAATCATGTAGTGAGTTTAAATAACCCCATATTCCAAATGTGAGAACTCCAAGCTAATGCTGCTTTACTGTGACTGAGGAGTCAGCAAACGTTTCCTGCAAAGGACCAGACAGTAAATATATTTTAGGCTCACTCAACCCTGCCCTTGTAGTTCAAAAACAGCCATGTGTAAATGAATGGCTGTGACTGCATTCCAATAGATCAGTAATTGTGGACACTAAAATTTGAATTTCATACTGTTTTTAAGCGTCATGAATTTTTTTTTCATTTTTTTCAACCATTTAGAAAGGGTTAATACCATTCTTAGCTTGTGGGCTATACAAAAATGGGGAGTGTAGGATTTAGCCGATGGGCCAAGGTTTGCCATCCCTTGCTGTAATTATATACTTTGGGAAAGAATGTGATAATGTAGGAAATCCAGAATTAGCAGAATACCCCTCTGGGATTTTCACTGGTTGGTTGGTTGGTTGGTGTTTGTTTTGTTGTACTGTTTTCATCTACTATTTTCCGAAGGGTTTTCACCACAAACCAGGGACCCTTTCTCAGTCCTAGGGCAAGGGCAGGCACTGGGTTTAAGCATAAGTAAGGCAAGCCTGACACCTTCAGGTCGCTCTGCAAGTGGCAGGTGCCACCCTGGAAATTAACCAGCAAGGCCCATCTCCTGGGAAGTAGGAATCCAGGAGGGGGCAGCCATACAGATTCAACTCAGCAGTGAGCCAGCCAGCAGCTGTTGTTATTGTTGAAATGGGGCAGGATAAAGTCCACAGATCACTGTCTGACTTCTCTCTCCAAAGGGCTGTCTTTAGGGGCATTTCATTCTATTGAAAAAATAAATAACTTCAGAGGACTGGAAGGACAACTGAGACCAGAGGGCTCCAAGGACATTCAAGACTTTCCCTGCTCTGGATAAGTCTCCTGCCTGCAGTTATTCATACATTCCAGAGGAGAGGAAGCGGTATGAACCACAATGGCCCCATCCCTCTCCTTTCAGATGCTTACAGAGGAAAAAGAAGGGAAATGTATAGGACATAATTGCTATTGAAAGTCAGGAGATTTACTCTGGGAGATGGTGATAAGGGGCTTCAAGAAGCAAAGGCCAATGATCAAAATGTTACAAAAGGCTGGAAGTAAATAGGATGACTCAACTGCCTATCAGGTCAGACTCTCCCAGGACTATCACGCCATTGTGCTGGGATGCAGCACTTTGCTCCTTTTTGGAAAAGGATTGTAGAGGCCATTCTTTCCATACCCCTCTCTCCAGAAGTGTTTGCCCGAAACATCCGAGACTCGAGTTATTCCCATCTTGTAAATTATCCTGGAAAAACAATCCTACAGCTTGCTAGTTCATCCTTTCATCTAACTGAAAGCCATCCTTCCGTGTTTCTGAGAGTAGACAGAGGGGACACTTGGAGGGAATTTGGCAGGGTTTACCCCTGGTTCTGTAGTCCCAAAAGTACTTTTGTATTTCTGAGAGCCTCCTCTTTGGAGGTGACAAGCCCTGAGGGTCTCACATGCATGTTGAACATCCATAGCTGTCAGTTCGATGGGCTAAAAAGCAGGAAGGACCTCAACTGTCAGTACTCCCAACACAGGCAGAGCTGGCAGAGGACTTAAAGGTCCCGGTCCCAGTGAATCTCCCACACTGACAACTTGGAGCAAGGGCAGAGAGGGGCGAATCTAGAGCCTATCCTTAGAGAGAACAAGACACTGAATCCGATTCAGAGCTGTGCCATTAAGATGGGGGTGCCATGAACTGCTGGGATTTTTGGTCCTCCGTGGAGAAGGCAGATTATGCCACTCCTCTCCCTGGGTTGCAACCCCCCTCATCCTAGGGGGAGATGGCAGGGTGGGGCAGAAGAAATCAATTCTCACACATTTGTACCCACAGCTGTGGACAGTGCCATGAGAGGGAGCTTGCAACCTTTCGTGACGCCCCCTGGGGACCTGAGCAGTACTCACATCAAGTTTTCAGGGCCCAACGTGCAGTTCCTGAAGATCTGCTGCCCTCCTAGGGAAACGCTTACCTTCCCTCTGGGGTGATTCCACTTTGCTGCCAACCACACCTCTGATAATTAACCACTGTGCTGGGCTCTGCCCTGCAGCCCCTGGGCAAGGCAAGTAACAGAGTCCTTGGCTGCGTTAACCAGGTGGTATTTTTTCCCCCCGATCAGAAGCTGGCGGTGAAAATGTGGGTTTTAGTAGGGAGCAGGATTTTAGTATGACCTTTCCTGCCTCCCTCTTTTGCTTTACAATGAAAAGCTCTGGAACCTCTCCGGAGACCTCTCTTCTACACATCGGATCCCCAACACCAGAGCTACAACTGTCGGATCCCCAGAGTGACTCTGCAGGGATGGGAACACTGTCTCTGGGGCCAGTGCAGGAGCCTCTTGAAGGCTCTTTTCTGGGCACTTGGCCTTAACGGAGGTAGGGACTGGGGCCTCCCGAAGGACTCGGCCTGAAGGGCCAGTCCAGCATTGTAGGAGTTAATGTGGGACCGCGCGTAATGGGAAGGGGAAAAAAGTTGGAGTTGACACTTACGGAGGGGGGGTGGGGGGGGGCGAGTCTTGCTGACTCCTGATTGGTTTTACATTTCATCCAAAAATTTTTTCTCTCCTCTCTCGCTCCCTCTTTTCAGTTTCTCTCTCTGATCCCAGGGGAGGGGAAACGGGAATAGTGAGAGATCAAAAATAAACCTCTTATGTCAAAGCCGGGAAGGAAGTATAAATACGAAGGGCTCGGCAGCCCACTCGGTGCTTCCCGGGGTGGGGAGGAGGCAGGAGGCGGCTGCGCGGGGACCGCGCGCAGGGCAGGGGCGGAGGACCGGCGCACGCGGGCCGGGGCGCCAGTTGCTCGCGCTCGGCTCGGCGGGCGGGCGCGGGAGGAGCGGCCTGCGCCAGCCAGAGGGGCCGCTCGGGGACCGCCGCCGCCGCCGCCGCCAGGCCCCCACTGGCCGAGTCGGCCAGCGAGCTGATTGATTTGCTTTTTCCTGGAGAGAGCGGCCGGGCTGCGCTCGCGCCGCCAGCACCTGCCCGCGCCGGGCCGCCTTCTTCCCTCTCCCGCGCCGCAGCCGGAGCCCCCATGCCCCGCGCCGCCCCCCGGTGGCCGCCGCTCCTGCTGCCGCTGCTGCTGCTCTTGCTGCCGCCGCCGCCGCTCGCCCGCGGCGCCCCGGCCCGGCCCGGCGCCCGAGGGCAGGCCTCGGAGCTGGTGGAGCCCACGCGGTTGCCGGGCAGCGCGGGCGAGCTCGCGTTCCACCTGTCCGCCTTCGGCAAGGGCTTCGTGCTGCGCCTGGCGCCCGACGCCAGCTTCCTGGCGCCCGAGTTCAAGATCGAGCGCCTCGGGGGCTCCGGCCGGGCGGCCGGGGGCGAGCGGGAGCTGCGCGACTGCTTCTTCTCCGGCACGGTGAATGGGGAGCCCGAGTCGCTGGCGGCCGTCAGCCTGTGCCGCGGGCTGAGCGGCTCCTTCCTGCTGGACGGCGAGGAGTTCACCATCCAGCCGCAGGGCGCGGGGGGCTCCCTGCGCCAGCCGCACCGCCTGCAGCGCTGGGGGCCCCGGGCGCGCCTCGGGACCCCCGGGTTCGCCTCCTCCGAAGCCCACCCCCTCCCCGGAGGACCCGAGTGGGAGGTGAAGGGAGAGGATCAGAGGCAGGAGAGAGGAGACGAGGAACAGGAGAAGGAAGAGGTGGAGGAGGAGGAGGAGGAGGAAACGGAGGAGGAGGGGGGCAAAGAAGAGGCGGCAGAAGGCGTCCGCGATCTGCCACCACCCCTGGGGGCCACGAGTAGGACCAAGCGGTTTGTGTCCGAGGCTCGCTTCGTGGAAACGCTGCTGGTGGCCGATGCGTCCATGGCTGCCTTCTATGGAGCTGACCTACAGGTAGGACTCACTTTGCCTGGAGGCCCCCCGTCACCTCCTAGAGCTTCCCAAATCTCCCCTTTCCAGTTCCTCTGGGAAAATCCTTCACGCTCCTCATCCTCCCAAGACCGACCCCAAACAAGGTTCTTTCCCTTCTGAGAAAGCGCAGTAACTCTTTTCTTAACCTCTGACCCTTGGGCTACCTACTGCCCCTCTCCCCCGTGTCCCTTCCAGTATAGAGTGGAGGTCCTGGCGCTTCCTTGACCTCGGCCACTCACCTTCACCCCTGGCATCCTGAATCTCCTTCAGCACTTGGCAAACTGAACTAAAAGTGGGTTTAAAAGCGCACCCCCCTCCCCCAGGCACCTGCCTCTCCCAACAGAGATGAAAACTGGACATTTTGGAAGAGCATCCACCCTATCCTCCATTTCTCAGCCCTCTACTGTCTCCAGACCTGAGAGGTTCCCAAGGATAGTCAGCTGGGAGGGAAAGATGTGTCTATTTCATTCCCTTTGCGGACAGAACTGAGGTTGCCATAAGTAAAAGATATTGTTTGGAGGGAGTTGAACCTGGAAAGGGGCTGCCCAACTTCTGTGTGCCCAGCTGGTTCTGATCAAGGGGCATGGACTACCTTGCCAACCTGGCACTAGGCCCCGGCCGAACTTGGCAGTGCCAGCATCAGCACAAAAAGGGAGGGGAACAGAATTTCTGCCTGGGGGCTCAGCCTGGGAAACTGAAGCTTCAGTGGAAAAGGGAGGGCATATGAACGCTTTCAGTTAATGTTCCTTGTGGAGCCAGAACTCTGCGTGGTCCACCCCAGCTGCTCTCAGCCCAGACACAGCTCTCTACTGAACTTGGGCAGGAAAATTGAGTTCAGGGGACAGCTCCTGTAGCCAGACCATGTCTAACTAGATTCAGAGGTGGTGCAGACTCAGCAGGAGGAGTCTGTGTCACCCTATGTCCCAACACCTCCCCCAAGAACAGGGTGAAGTACAAGGGTTCTAGGGGAGGGCTATACTTTCTCTTCCCTTGGGGAGCACAAAACCAGAGGTGTGCCAGGTAGAGAAGAGTAGAGAAGACCTGACCTGCCCAGAGGTCAGAGATGCCTGCGGCAGGGATCCTGGCCACTGCCGCAGCTCAGTTAATGCTTTTTCAATAATGGCAGTCTTGGCCAGTGACCCTCTTCTAGGCTCAGCCTATGCCCAACTGTTGGGGGCATCGAGTGCTTCCGTATCACCTGTGCAGAACAGTCTAGTTGATGCACACCATCTTCATCACTCTGCAATCACTGGGAAGTGCGTCCAGATGGAAGGATGGGAAGAGCTAGAGGTGAGAGGTCCGTGTGGGCTGCTTCTCTGGCTCCTGCAGGAGCAGGCTCCTTTGCACACTGTTGGAGTATTCACTTCTCCCAGAGCACGGTAAGACAACTTTGAGCAGTCAGTGTGGTCTTCCCAATGGGCTTCGGGTCTATGAAGATTGAATATCTGTTTCCATGACTACCCTGAGAGCAGGGGGAGGCACCAGCTGACTCCTCTGACTCCTTTTCCTCAAGCAAGTCCTCAAGAGCATAGCTAGCGGGGCTTCTCCCATCACAGGTTAGGACCACCACAGCTGGCTACTAGGGGGCTTGACCAAAGAGAGGTTAAAAGTACAATCACTGCAAACCCAGAGCTGAGATGCTTGAGCCCGTCCCCAGGCAGGGACCAGGTTCTGACGTCTGCCTAAGAACCAGGAGGTAGGAAAGATGACAACACAAAGAAGCAGCAGAAAAAAGACTTTTCAGGCTTCAGAGCCAAAATGTTTTCTCTAGTGCCTTCCTACCATCTAGCTCTCTCAGCCCATCATCACCCAGTAACTTAAGACACTGAGTATTTGCCTCAAGGGGGTATTTGGCTGGGCTGGGTCTGCCCCAGGTTCTCCTCACAGAGACACCCCGGAGTGCTCCCACCCTTATAGATTTCTGGGTGGATGACCCAGTGCATGCTTGTCCCACCCCCCTCTCCCTCCACACACACCATTCCTGGACCATTCACAGACACACTCCTTGCACCCAGCCAGCCTATGTGGGTCAGGAAAGGACATCAGGCCCCTGTGTAGGCTGAGGTCCTTTCCATAGGGTATCTACTTCTGGGTCCTACGCCCGAAGGAAAAGTGCTCTCTTGGCTTGACCAGCTCCATCACCCCCGCCTTGGTCTTCCTATGTCACTGCCCACTTATACCCCTGCTGTCGCCGTGTTGGGATGAGGCAGGGACTGAGGCTCGGCTGCTTCTATGACCTCCCACTGACCCCTCTGCTTTGACTGCTCACCAGCTGTGGAGATGCCACAGGATAGACTTGAACTTCTCAGCTCAATCCCCTGGGCTTCCTAAACAGGTCCATGAGCTCAGCCAAGACAAGAATGAATGTCAAGTTATAGTTCCCCAAGACCTTGCCTGCCCAAAATAGAATCCAGTTCTTTATTCTTCAAGGAATCTCCTGGAGACTTCGTTCACATGGATGGAAGGCAGTTTGGGGTATCTTAGCAACCAGGGGTGTAAGTAAGGATGAAGAGACTTCACCCCCTTGAGGGTTTGCATTTCCTCCTCTGTGAAGCCAGACCCTGCTCATCAGGACTAATATAAGCATCAGTGAGGCTGCTTCATGATGAGTCTTCTAGAAAGTTCAGCCATTGTCTGAGTGCATTCAATTTGCACAATGGTTTGCATGCATCACGTCAGCAGAAATACCAGTGAGAGAGGCAGAGGAAGAAGGTTCAGCTCACAGGGAATCTGTGCCTTTCTGAAGGTCACACAGCTAGTAAGTGGCAGGGCTGGGTCATGACCCAAGTCTCCTGAACTTGGGAGCAGTGCTCTTTCTTACTGTGCCATGAGGTTTCTTTAGCCCGAGAAGGGTCTGTGACAGTGGCTCTGCTTACCCCCTACACTTGTCTGTATTGTGGGAATGGGGCATTGAATCCAGCAGTCCAAAGATGCCCAGCCAAAGTGGGAGGCCCTATCCTGGGAAGAAACCACCTTCAAGGCCAAGAGAAAGAATTAGCCACGCTCGAGGCTGGTCACACTGTGAAGCGACAATGAAGTTTTCCAGAACTCTGTACACTTGAGTTCACTTAATCCCTTGACAGAAGGGGCCCCTGCCTCCCACCTTCTTATCTGGTTTCAGAGTTAATGAGCTCAGACAAAGGGGGCTTTCTGAAAGGAGGGACCACCTCGGAAGAGGCCATTAACTCTGTCTGCATCGGACTGCCTCTGTTGCCTGGATGAAGCTGCCGCAGGAAAGCTGTGAGTGGCAGGCTGGGCCGTGCCCCCCACGGCGGACTCGAAATCCGTCCCGCCAGTGTATCAGCTGAACTCTGAACTCTCTGCTCAGCAGAGAGGGTCCGGGGAGTGGCACTCCTCGTCCCCAGAGACCAGAAGATCCCCAAGATGTCAGGCTACCAGCAAGTGATTTCAGGGAAGGGTTAAATCCCAGCCATTCCGTCTCCCCCTTACCCATATCCTCTGGGAAAATGTCTCCCACAAGCCCTAACACTAAAGGGACCACATCTCCCAGCACAGTCCCCATTTAGGCCTGTTCTGGCATGATTATTAATAGCATCATCTTCGCTCTCAAAAGCGTCCTGGTTTGGATAGTGACAGAAGCAGACGCATGCCCCACTTGCTCTGTAGCTACCTACATCCTCACGGGGGAAAGACCTGTATTCTACCTGTGTGTGAACTCTGTTCCCCTCCTGGCAAGAGGATGAGTCTTTTCTGTCTCTTTTCTCATTTCTCTCCAGTCAGAATGATCAACAATATGAAGCTTTTCCCAAAGAAAATGCCTTAATATTCAAAGGTCTTTGATTTACCACCTCTGCCTCCGCAGGTATAGACGATGCCAGGGGTAAGCTTGCTTGCTGGCGTGCTCTGGGTTTGCTCTGGCTCTGCTGCAGTTGTCCTTGTAGCAGCAAGGATAGGTGGCAGTCAGTGTGGTGATTAAGAGCATATACTTTGAAGGGTCATCGAAATAAGCTGAGTGTCCTTGAGCAAGTTACCGATTTCTCTGTACCTTGATTTCTTCACCAGCAAAATAGGAACAGTTATATCAATGTCCCAGCATTACCCTGAGGACAGAATAAAATATGGAAAGCGCCTGACCCAGTGCCTGGCACATAGTAGGTGCTCAATAAAGCGTAGCTAATAGTGGAGTTGCCTTTGGTGATGGCGTTTGTCGGAGTAGGACGTGCCTTCACAGTCAGCCCGTTGCCACGTCAACTCTGTTGTCCCACGCGGCAGGGAGACCTTCCTTTTCAGCTTGCTTGGCTCAGAGTGTTTAAGCTTGACTCCTGTGGTAAGTGTGTGTGGTTCTGGAGAGGTGACACTGCCCCTTGCTATTTTGAGAATGAGGAAAGATGAAGGACATTGGTGCAGGACCCTTTCTTTTCTCCAATTGCTTCTTTGCTTCTCCACCACCTCCTCAGCAGTCTTGGGCCCTAGAGAGACCCCCAGTAGCAAAAGTGTGGCACCAGTTGCTGAGGTCAGAAGGTTTCCATGTGGCCACTCTTCTTCTCCTTGCCTCTCCCAGGCGTGCTGCAAGGAGAAGCGATGGGAAGCACAGTATGAAGAGCAAAAGAGCAAAGCATAGGGATGACACTCTGAGCAGAAGGAGCTGCTAGAAATGCATCTGGCCCCGGCCCAGACTTCTAGACTCTCCCCGCAGTTGGCTTTGGCTGCCATGGGAGCTCTGGGGGAGGAATGTCCCTAGTTGTATCACAAAGAATCAAATCAAAGAGCTAGGCTGCATCCCAGCCTAGCTGCCTAGGGCATTTCTTTCTCTTCTTCAGGTCATAGGGGCACCGATGAAGAAGGAGACTCCCTTAAAAAATGCTGTGTCTTTTCCTAATGAGAATTAAGGGCATGAGGTCCCCAAGTCATTCAAGAGCAGGGTTGTTTGACCATCCCTGGCCAGGCTGGTCATGGCCCACCCCCCCGGACCTGACATGGTTCTGGGAGGTTGTCTGCTGTGCTGGGACCCCCACTCCACCAGGGGCGCCATCTTGTTCACATTCTTCAGCAAGCAGCCCACACTTGGGTGGTGCACAAAGAAGTATAAATAGACACCAGGTGGTGGAGTGAGCCGTCTGACCTTCTCCTCTACTGGCTCCTGAGCCCTCTCTCTGTGGAACTGTAAGTCAGGCCTGGCCTTTTGGCCCAGGGTACTGCCAAGACTCGGAGGCTCACAGACTCTCTCGGCCACTGCCCCCACCAGGTCCCTCCCCCGAGGGAACTGTAAGATGCACTGCAAATGTCAGGCATTCCTGCCATGGTTTCTTAGAGGAGCTAACAGTGGGATAGCAGTGCTTCCCACCTCCAAAACCTCAGCGAGACTAGACGAAAAGGGAGATGAGCAGGACCAGGTTTGGGGACTTTAACAGAAACACTGGACCACACAGACCTTGCAGCTCTCTTGCAATGGAAATTATCTTCTGAAATAGCATCCAGAAGGACATCCAAAAGCTCTCAACTCTAACCATCTGCCTTGAAGGGAAATGGCCCTCAAGCCCGCTCAGCCTGACAGGTATTTAGTGTCCGGAGATGCTCTGAGCTCCCTGAACCGCAAGGGAGGCTCTCTGAAAATCTTAATGTTGGGAAGCCTCCCCTGATGCCTCACCTCGTTCCTTTGTGCAGAAATTGACACCCGTGTGCCTTTGGCTTTCACTGGGGGCGTGGCCGGTGCATGGTCCCCACTCAGCCGCGTTGCCCCGGAGCCTCAGTCTGATCTGGTCAGCTTGAGAACGCCGAGCCCTCTTAAACCTCAAGCCTGCCAGGACCGATGCTGAGCAGCTGGTATCTCTTGTGGTAACACCTTCTTTGTAAAACATTGTCTCCCCAATTTTGAGATTGTGAAACTGGGACTCAAAGGGAAGAGATCTTGTGAGGAGAGTTGCAGGTTGCCTCTGAAGAAATTCCACGGCTTGGTCCCTGGCCCATCAGATTCGACCCTTCCTAGGGCAAGAGAGCAGGAGACTCTGTCTGCCCCCTGGAAGCAGCAAAGGCCTGGCCAGGAAGTAGTCTCAGCGAGCTCCCATTCCTCAGCCCTCACCCCCAGTTGCATAATGATGTGATTGCTTTTCTCCCTCAGGAATCCAGCTCTAGGAGCAAGCGCCAAGTTTCAGCTTTGCTGATAAGATGTTTACATCAGCCTAAACATAGCTAGAGTGCTTGACACGCTAAGAAACCTGCCAACCCCTGTTTGTAGGGCTTACAAAATACCTGGCTTGTTGCCCGCGAGGTGAACAGACAGATCCCATTCACAAATAATAGGATTCGTCTGGAACGCCCACACACGGCCTCAACCGACGGAGTGTCCCTCTTTAGCCTTTCACCCTCTTTTCCCCTTCTCCTCCTACCTTCCAGACCACAGGAGAGAAAAAAGAAAGGCTGACGGGAGATGGTGCCCTAGGGAATGGGGAGCGGGGGCAAATGAATGGCAGCTCGGCTGGCCACGCTCCCAGCTGAAGGCCTGCGTGCCCCTGCCCCTTTCTTTCCTGCAAAACAATCCAAGAGGACTCACTTCTAGAGGTCCCTGAGGCAGGAGAGTGAGCTCCATCTGGCCGCCTCCAAAGCCTTGGGAGTAGTTGGCAGCCCAGGGATAGGACAGAGGCCCAGCAATGATGTGAACTCCTTCAGCTGGTCTGGACAAAACTGGAAGCAGGTGTGATCCTCTGCGCCTGGGTCTCATTAGGCCCGCTGCCCCCTCTCCAGCCCCTGGCAGAAAGGAAGAACCCTCTCGGGGTTGTCCAGAAACCCAGCGGTCAAGCCCTGGGCAACTTCATTTGACGAGTGTAGGCCTCAGAGACAGACGTGCCTGGGCTGGTGTCCTGGCTTTAAGAGCTGTGTGACCTTAGACAGCTTGTTTAACTCGTGTGAACCTCTTCTCCCTCATTTGTAAGCCCAGGATGACACTGCCTACTTCACAGAGTGAGTGTGAGCGTTTAATGAGGTGCGGGTCTGGTGACAGGTGCAGACTAACTATTAGTGACTACTGGAATGATTTCAGGGTTAACAGGGCCCATCCTGCAGAGTAGAAGTTACCCCAGCAGGCATCAGGAAAATGCTCCACTGGATTCTAAGGGACACATTCTACTAACCTTGAACACTCAAATAATTGCTTCTGGGCTGAGAACAGAGAGGGGATGGGGCGGGGGGGGGGGAGGGGGCGGGCAGGGGTCTGGCAGGAAGTTGCTTGGTGTCAGAGTTAAGGCAGAATAATAACCAGTGCAGTCCAATAGGACCTTCTGGTGATGATGGAAATGTCCTGTCTGCTCCGTTTAATACAGAAGCCTTGAGCTATAGGTGGCTACTGATGTACTTGAAACATGGCCCGTGTGACCGAGGCACTGTAATTTCCATTTTATTGAATTTAAACTAACTTCGATTTACACAGCCACATGTGGCTGGTTGAGATGTTAAAGGCACAAGCTTTGGAGCCCGGCCATCTGGGTTCAGAGCCTGGCTGTACACTCATTAGCTTTGGGATCTTGGGCCAGTTACTGAGCCTCCCTGTTCTTATATGTAAAATGAAGGGAAATAACACTGGGACCTCCGGGGTTTTGTGAGTCTTCAGCAAGATGCTTTATCTCCAGCGCTCAGCGCAGAGCCCAGCACATGGAGGGGGGTGGCAGCGGGCAGGCAACGGGCCGGGAGATCGAACCGTTCCCTCCCCCTGCTCCCGTCTTCCCTACAGAACCACATCCTGACGCTGATGTCCGTGGCAGCCCGAATCTACAAGCACCCCAGTATTAGAAACTCCATCCATCTCATGGTGGTAAAAGTGCTGATCGTGGAAGATGAAAAGTGGGGCCCGGAAGTGTCTGACAACGGGGGGCTCACCCTGCGCAACTTCTGCAGTTGGCAGCGGCGTTTCAACCAGCCCAGTGACCGGCACCCAGAACACTTTGACACAGCCATTCTGCTCACCAGACAGGTCTGTGGGCTGGCTCCAGAGAGCCCAGGCAGGAAGGGGGGCAGGATGGGTGGATCAAAGGGAGGACCATGAGGCCTGCCCAAACATGGGAAATGTCTCCCTGCTGGCCCCAGCTGGACACCAGGAGCCTCGTGTGTGGAATGATGAGGGGGAGGTCATGAGGACAAGTGTGAGGTATTTGCAAGGGAAGGAGAGGAATCTCGTAAGGGCTCTTTTCCAAAAGTTTGTGACCAGCTGTCTACTGAGGTCATAACAAGAGGAAGTGGGCTCAAACTGCCCAGTAAAAGATCTGGAGTTGGAATGTAGAGAGAAGGTCCATCTACAATGACTGTTAAACACAGAGGCAGGGAACTGGGGGTCACCTTGAGATTTCTCCAAATCAGGAGGCCTGCCCTCCTAGCTGGTGCAATTGAAACAGATAGCTTCCTGAAGGCTGGAAAGTCTAATAATATGTGCTGCCCTGTTGACGCTTTCAGTCCTCAGGACAACCCCACCAAGCCCCATTTTACAACTCAGGAAACTGAGGCATAGATTGCCCCCCCACACACACAGCGGTGGCACCCATAGTCAAGCCTAGGGCAGTCTTGCTGCAGGGTCAGTACTCTTCAGCACTGTGCTATCCTGCCTCCCAAAACAAGCCAGCCCTAGGACATGCCAACTCTAGGACACGAAGTCCCAGCCAGCCCTAGGACACACCAGTGTAGAAAAAGAAACGGGCTTCCTCACGGAAGTGGCCTTTGTGAAGAAATAGGGCCTTCGGCTTACAAATTTTCCTTCAGGGGCACCTGGGTGGTGCAGTTGGTTCAACGTCCGACTCTTGATTTCCGCTCGGGTCATGGTGATGGGGTTGTGAGATCGAGCCCCATGTCAGCCTCTTTGCTGGGCATGGAGTCGGCTTAAGATGCTCTCTCATCCCCTCCCTCTGCCCCTCCCCCTCCCTCGCTCTCCCCCTCTCTAAAAAAAAAAAAAATTTCCTTCAACTCAGGAGGAGCAGAAATAGGAAGATTTTCTGTTGTATGTCTGTTCTCACGCCCTCACTCTCTCTGCCAAGCAGAACTTCTGTGGGAAGGAGGGGATGTGTGACACCCTGGGTGTGGCGGACATTGGCACAATCTGTGACCCCAACAAGAGCTGCTCTGTGATCGAGGATGAGGGGCTCCAGGCGGCCTACACCCTGGCCCATGAGCTAGGTAAGACTTGCCATGCCAAGCCTACTGTACTCTGTCAGGGGGATCTGCCTCTTCCAAATCCAGGCCAGCCCAGGGTCTAAGGAAGATGCAGCTCTCACTCTTGGCCAGATTCTACTCAGAGTTCTGACAGAGTGATTATATGTAAATAGATACTGTACTTTCTCCATTCCCACCCTGAGCATGAGGCCGTAATATTAAAATAGGGTCTTGGATCATCATCAGGGGTCCCCAGGAAAATGCCAAAATGAAACAAATGCTCGGGTAAAGCTACGATGCTTTGCCCAAGCTAAGCAGTCACAGTAAGAATTCTGGGGAGATCAATTGTAAAGAGAGTGCTGTGTCAGGGAGTGAATTATTGAGGACAGGCTGAGGCTGAAAACAAAGGGATATCAAGGTTCCCCCGGTACTCTGAGAAAGGCTTCTGCAAGAGAAAAGCCCAGAGTGAAGCCCCAGACAAAAATCTTTAAGGAAGAAGGGCATGGCCATCCCCATGAGGAGCTGGTGACTGGTTGGCCCGAGACGCCCTCTTCTGTCAGCGGAGGGTGGCTGTCTCGCCAGAGAGAGGGAGAGGGGTGCTGGGCTGTGTGGGGAGCTCTTGGGGTGGGACAGGGCGGGCTGGAGGGCAGTGGAGACTGGTCAGGGTGGACTTCAGGTCTCTCTCCACCCCAGGGCACGTCCTCAGCATGCCCCACGACGACTCCAAGCCCTGCACACGGCTCTTTGGGCCCATGGGCAAGCACCACATGATGGCGCCGCTCTTCGTCCACCTAAACAAGACACTGCCCTGGTCTCCCTGCAGTGCCATGTACCTCACGGAGCTCCTGGACGGTGGGCACGGTAGGTGTCCCGCAGGCTTCTCCCTGCTTTTTCTGGCCCGCTGCTGGTGTTTGAGGTCTGCCCCGCCCGCCTCCGTGAGGGCTAGAGTGCTAGTGGCACCCGTGCAATTTCTGGTGGAGCTCCTTCAGAGAGCAGCAGAGACGTTTCGGATAGGACAGATGTCGGAGAGGTGTTCCTCGCCCAGCCTCCTCCTGTGCTGTGGCAGGCTAACCATCCCCACAAAGCATACTCTTTCTAGCCCTGTCTTCCAGCAGCCAGCGTGCTGTGCTAATTTAGATGATTAGTCCCAGAGCCAGTAGAATTAGTCTGAGAAGGTTTGTCTGGAGGAGGTGGGTTTGAACAGAGCTTGAAGGAATGAAAGAACGCAGTACAGAGGAGAGAAGAGAGCATCCCGGCTGGAGAGATAGATCCTGCTGTAGCTTAGGAATGGCAAAGAGGCAGGGAACAGGTCAGTGCGACAGCAAGGGTGGGGGATGGGGGTGGGGGGCATGCCGGGTTAAAAGCATTGGACTTATTCAGTAAAGCAGTGAAAACACAACTTACTCTTGATTGTTCTCATCGAAGGAGACAGGGACACCTAAGATACAAAAGTAATAGATTATCCAAACATCAGTACTTAGGCTTTATTTTGCCTGCCATGGTTTTTGAGAGCATATTTGCATCCCCCATTCCGTGTGCTGTAGATTAGTATTACAGTTAGCTGGCATTCCCTAGGTACACACTGAATGTATATAAGATGTTCTGGATAACAAAAAAAAAAAAAAAAAAATTCAATCCTAATAAAATTTTACTTAACTGATAGTCAAAAATTGGATAAGCTCATATAGATGATTGAGTGTTGACAGTTTTTAGCTTATGGTCAAAGAAATTATGACGGCTAGGCCTTACACCCCATCAGTAGGAATTTAAGTGTAATGTGGGAGCTCCTCCACTGGGGAGCTGAGAGAGGGAAACTCCTGCTCCTCATTCTTGTCTTGTTCCTCTGCTTTCCTCCATTTCTCAGGAGACTGTCTCCTGGATGCCCCCACGTCGGCCCTGCCCCTCCCGACAGACCTGCCAGGCCGCAGGGCCCTCTATGAGCTGGACCAGCAGTGCAAGCAGATCTTTGGGCTGGGTTTCCGCCACTGCCCCAACACCTCTGCACAGGACATCTGCGCCCAGCTCTGGTGCCACATGGATGGCACCGAGCCCCTTTGCCACACGAAGAATGGCAGTCTGCCATGGGCTGATGGGACGCCTTGTGGGCCTGGGCACCTCTGCTGGGAGGGCAGCTGTCTGCCTGAGGAGGAAGTGGACAGGCCCAAGGTGAGGGATGGCCACCTGGGGGTGTGGGAGGAGAGGGAGGGGGAGGGCTGTTTTCAAGGAAGAAACCACACTTGAGAGCCATGAACTAAGAGACTTTGGGCCAGGCTGCGACTAGGACGTCTTAAGTAAAATCATTCGTCTTTTAACAAACGAAGCAAAGCATATTTACCCAAAGTCAAGAGGAGCCCTTCGAGGCTGGACTCAGAGCAGATGGATGACACCACCAGTGCTCAGGGCCTTCTGAGAACTCCCCTCTGCAATTGTTCTGGGGTGGACTAGGAGGCTTATGAGGACAGGTGATAGGCATGAAGCTTTCCAGCACAAAGACCAGATCGTGGCTGTTCAATAAAGGGAGGCCATTATGCATTCCATTCTAAACAGATAGTGTGATGGCAGAAGAGGAACATTCAGTCAAGAGCTGAGGGAAAAGTATTCATAACCTACCCATGTCTGAGCTGCATTCATCTTCAGAGGTCAGGAGAATGAGACTAATTGTGGGAATTCCATACTCAGGAGGGGAGAAGGAATCAAGCTGTCTCTGACCAGGCAGAGAAAACCTGGCCCAGGACTGAGGAAACTTACACGAAAAACCAAGGCAATGCCAGCGAGAGTTTTTAAGTGATTCGCTTCTTTGCCCTGCTCTTAATACTTCCAAACTGTGAGGCTGATCACATTTCTCTTACTGCAAGTCACTGAGCCCTGCCTATGAAACAGCATCCGCTGAGTTTCGCAGCCTGGTCTGGGCCCAGCACTGAATCACCAGGGTGGCCTGAGCACTCACTCTCCAGAGGGCTGTCCTCAGTGGCATGTCCTTTGCCCTGAGGCTCAGGATCCTGCTTGGGCCAGGTAAGCCACACTCTTGCTAAGCTTGCACCAGGGCAGGATTCACAGATTCAGCCTCAGCCACTTCTCATCCTCCCCATTCAGACACTGAGTTTCTCTTCTGTGTACTGACTCCCTCTACCCCGTCCAAAGCACGTGCTTCACACATTACTGAGGGGAGGAGGTCTGTCCAACATTCCTCGGCACCAGAGCCAAGCTCAATGCAGGGAGAGTTTGACATGGAATGATCATGGGATGATGTTTATCATCTATTTTTAAGGGCAAAAAACAGATCATAGAACACTATATATATGACAGAATCATAACTATGTAAAATTAAAACACCACATCTTTATGATTATTCAGAGCAAAAGTGTGAGAGGTTATTGATGAAAACCACATCAGTGATTTTATTTGGGTAGTGGTTTTTTTTAAGTGTTGTTTTCTTTCTTTATACTTTTCTGTATTTTTCATTTTTTATGTAAGCAACTTTTGTCATTTTTTTAAATTATTTCCCTTTTGAAAATTCTGTGAGCCAATCAAGGGCAAAGCTTTGTTCTCATAGGTTGATTGTAAGGATGGAAGCAAATCTGATTATTTCCCAGGCATTATCCTACCATTGGAACTGGTAGCTGGTAGACCAATAGCAACAGTTCCCAGCAATTATTCCTTTAAACCAGGACGTCTCAACTTCGGCACTAGAGACATTTGGGGCTGCATAAGTCTTGGTTGTAGGAGGCTATCTTCTTCACTGTTGGATGTTCGTTGGATGCTCATTGGTGGACGCTTGTAGTTGGATGCTTGTTGGATGCTTGTTGGGTGCTCATTGTTGGATGCTCATTCTTGGGTATTCATTGTTGGGTGCTCATTGTTGGAATCTCATTGTTGGATGCTCACTGTTGGATGTTCACTGTTGGATGCTCATTGTTGGATGCTCATTGTTGGATGCTCATTGTTGGATGTTCACTGTTGGATGCTCGTTATTGGATGTTCATTGTTGGATACCTCATTATTGGTTGCTCATGGTGGGTGTTCACTGTTGAATGCTCCTTGTTGAATGTTTAGCGGCACCCAACCTCTACCCGCTAAAGGCCAGCAGCATGCACCCTCCCCAACTGTGACAACCAAAATGTCTTCAAACATTGCCAGATGTCCCCAGAGGATAAAAACGGCCCTGATGGAGAACTGCTGCATTAGACACAACTTTATTTCCATAAAATGTTGTTTCATTCAACAACTAATACCGAGCACCTTACTAATGGCAAGGCACTGTTTTAGACACTGGGGAGTCAGCAGTGAAGAAGTCTAGCACATCCTCTGTGTTCAAGAGGCCAATCGCCAAGCAAGCCACACAGTCACTAACAAATGATTAGAGCAGTTTACTGAACAACACCCACCAGGATGAGCATAAGTAGGTGAAGAGGTCAGGGCCAGGGACCCCTGTTACACTGAGAGCTGAGCCCCCCCGACCCCCGCTCCTGACTCAGGGTGGCCTTGTGTGTTGCAGGCTGTGGTGGCTGGAGGCTGGGCCCCATGGGGACCCTGGGGAGAATGTTCCCGGACCTGCGGAGGAGGAGTACAGTTTTCACACCGTGAATGCAAGGACCCTGAGCCTCAGAATGGAGGAAGATATTGCCTGGGTCGGAGAGCCAAGTATCAGTCGTGCCACACAGAGGAATGCCCCCCTGATGGTAATCGCCACTGATGGCCACTACTGTTGTCACTGCAGCTGATCCCCAGACAAAAAGTAGGGTGGGTCTCCTCCCGGGATGCAGAGCTGTCCTGTGAGCCAGACATAAATGGACCCTGCAAGGCACCAAGTTTTAGGGCAAAGCCTAGCAGCCGCTAGACAACTCTCACTGTGCTGGGAGAGTGTAGCAAAGTCAAGGAAAGAAATTGCCCCGATCTTCCAAGATGTGGAAATAGAGGATGACATTCCCAACCAAACTTATTCAAGGAGTTGGGAGGAGCTCGGCAGAGGGGCTAGCATCTAGGATAATAATCCTCCTGGAGGCATCTGAACCCTTGTCTGTGTGCAGAATAGAAGTGTTTTCCAAAGCAAGTGTCAGAGCCAAACCTCCACTGTCTTTCCAGCCAACATTCAGCCCAGGGTGGAGGGAGGGTTTCTGAATCTGATTCTAACGCACATTCCTTCTGAGAAGAGTTGCCCATCTTCCCTCGAGCCCGTGGCAACTGCCTGATGGAACCTTACCAGAGAGCAGCACTGCCTCTACCTCCCCTTGGCATACATTCCTACCTCCTAGTACCCACTGGAAAAAACACACATTAACTCAGAGGCAGCCGGGGTAGCAGCAAAATTGGTGAGAGGGAACCATTAGCAGTTTTTCCCCACCATCCCATCCAACTCCCCTTTGTGCAGCTCCAGGAAATACTGGCAGGCGGCAAAAGACAAGCAGAGTTTTAAGAGAGATGCATCCAAGTGCAAAGACACACTGACATTGGGTTGGTGTCTAATGAGGGAATCTGTAGGCTTTGCAGTTTTGCAAGACAGGAAGGATCGGCAGCGGCCCGCGGCTCTAGAAACTTTGCCCCGGAATCGTGAGAATTTGCCTGGCACGTGGGGTGAAGAGAGAGAGAGAAGAAGGGGAGGGGATGAAGATAAGGCACAAGGTAGACGGAATGATTTCAGCTGCACCAGGATCATCCTCTCCGTCAACAAGTGGTTTTTAGTGCCTCTCGTGTGGCTTGAACTATAATAGATGTTACAAATGACATCGTAAAAATGCACAAAGCATGGTCTCTGTCCTCAAAGAACTCGCAATCTAGTTAGAGATCCACATGCCTCTTGCAAAGCAACTAAAGCCTAAGCTCTGAGGCCCGGACCCCCGGCTTATGAAGAAGTCAGAGCAAGGAAAAGCCTGGGCTAGTCCAGAGCTTCACGGGGAGTTAGGGCTGAGCAGGGCCTGGAGGATGGAGATGGTGACGGGGTGTGGGAGGGCACGTGCCTGCGTGGAGATGGCGGGGGGCTTGAGAGGGGCTAGCATGTACTTGAGTGGAGCCAAGCAGCATACTAGCATTTTAAGGCTACACAGCAAAGGTCTGTCAAAGCTGAAATGGTATCTGGAGGTTCTCCGTGCAGGCTGTCCCATCACGTCACCTGGGAAGCTTGTTGAAACACAGCGTCCCCGACGGCTCAGATGCATTGAATCGGAATCTTAGGGGTAGGGCACGGCCATCTGTGTTTTGAAAAGTCTCCACAGGCCATGCAGAGATGCAGGGGTAGAGAACCTCAGTAGTAAGAGCAGGTTTAATTTCAGGATTGTGGGGCAAAAAAAAAACCCATTTCTTACTTCCGACAGATTGTTCCGGAAGCAGCATGCAGCAGGATGGGAGAAGAGGCTGGGCACTAGGTCTCACATGGAACCGAGAGGCCTGGGCTTGTGGGAGGTGGACTCAGATGGTGAGAGTGGGAAGGAGACACGTAAAATCGCAGATTGTCATGAATAGAGTGTAGGACTTAAGGACCAGGTTGGAAATAGTCGACGTAGATACTCAAGTGTTCAGCAGACATCAGATGCCTGTCTCACACCAGAATGTGGCAGTATCCCCAAATGAAAATTAAACCAGTTCGTGGAGGAGCCGTATGGGGTTAGGCTTTTTCTGAGCTGAAAGGTAATCATCCTGCTAAACATGGAGGTCCCCCGGAGACATCCAGAATTACAGCGGGTGAGCTACAGGGGCAAGATCAGAACTAGAGATGTCGATTTGAGGGTTTTGGTCACCAGTTAAATGTCATGAAGGAAGTCAAAATCAAGCACGATTAGCAGGGGCCCAAAAATATACTCCACGGATCATTCAAGTTTACTGAATTGTCCCCTGTTCCTACTAAGTTTATTCATCTGTAAGATAGAATTGCTATCTTCCCCCAGACGGAAAGGATATTTATCCCAGAAAGCCCAGCTTGAGGCTGGATGCTCCTTTCCTTGCCACGTGGACCTAGGTCGGGAGTGTCTAGGAATGTTGGGCCCAGATGACACTGAACCTATGTCCTGGGATTGGGTCAAAACCAGGAGGAAGAAAAGGGCCCTGAATGCTGGCATTTCTGCCGCTGGGTCCTCTCTGCTTCAGCAAGGCATGTTAACTGCATGCCGTTTCTTACTCTTTGTAGGGAAAAGCTTCAGGGAGCAGCAGTGTGAGAAGTATAATGCCTACAATTACACTGACATGGATGGGAACCTCCTACAGTGGGTCCCCAAGTATGCGGGGGTGTCCCCCCGGGACCGCTGCAAGCTGTTCTGCCGAGCCCGGGGGAGGAGTGAATTCAAAGTGTTCGAGGCCAAGGTAAGAGTCCTTCTGGAGCTCAGAACCACAAGTGGGGAGGAAGGCCACCTGCTCCGACCCCACCTGTGGGTGGCCTCTGTGCACACCACGCTCTCTGTTACCTTCTGCTTCCCTGCTCCAGGTGATCGATGGCACCCTGTGTGGACCAGAGACTCTAGCCATCTGCGTCCGTGGCCAGTGTGTCAAGGCTGGCTGTGACCACGTGGTGGACTCGCCTAGGAAGCTGGACAAATGTGGGGTGTGTGGGGGCAAAGGCAATTCATGCAGGAAGGTGTCTGGTTCCCTCAACCCCTCCAGGTGAGTCTCACCATAGTTCTGTGCCTAGGTTCCAGAAGAGCGGAACAGGCTTTAGAATCAGACTGGCCTAAATGCGAATCGTGGCAGCTGCTTATTACCCCTGCGGCCCTGAGCTGTAGTTTCTCTGTAAAGCTTTGGGAGTCCCTTCTATCTCGGAATCATCATACCGAGTCATGAGATGGGCGGAACGCTTGGCACAAGGTCTGGCCCACAGAGAGGACAGTGCACAGGGCCGCCAGAGGCCCTGAGGATAGAAGTGTATCAGCTCTGAGTCAACCAGCAATAGAGCTATGCTGAGTAACGAGGGCCCTTGCCAGAAAGTGGCTCTTCCAGGCCTGTTTTGGGAAGGACATCTCACCCTACACCTGGTGAGTCCCATCCTTTCTGCAGGTGGATCTTTCAAAGAGGGGGTCCAAAGAGGGGGGTCTTGGTGGCCTTAGTGCTTTCATGGATCTGAGAACTCTGGACGCTTTCGCACACCTGAACACCATATGTTCATGAAACCCCTAGTACTGAAATGCTTTCATTTCTTTTTTTTTTTTCCTTAAGTGCTTTCATTCCTATGGCCTCATTTGATTCCTAAAATAAGTCCATCAGGTAGCCAATACTACTATTCCCCATTTACAGATGAAGAAACCAAGGCACAAAAAGATCACATGACCCTCCTAAGGTCACACTGATAGTTAATAACAGCCAGGAAGAGAGCCCAGGTGTCTTAATTCCTGGGCTGGTTTTCTCCTGCCATGGCACACAGTTCCCAGGGAGGAAGGGCCAGGGCATATGTTACGTGGCCACACTGTGCTCCCCTCTGTCTCTCGCTACCTCTCACCTGGTCGGCCTCAGAGAACAGAACCAGCCCACAGCAGACAGCTTGGCAGTCTTCAAAGTTAAACTCAAAGGATAGAGAAAAAAGAAGCATGTGGTGTGCGATATTCAGATAGCAGGTCTGCTAGCTGGCTTCCTCTTAGGCATTAGACATATGGGGCTGTGCATTCTTTCAGAGCCACCCTAGACTCAGCAGCTAGCTGAGTGGGCAGAAGGCAAGAGTAGCAGAGAACCGACCGCCTGTCCTCAATCTTCTTTGCTTTTCTCCCGGCCTATGTAATCCAAACACTTCTGCCCCAGAAGAGAAGAATAAAAACTAAGGTTTCTCCATCCCACGTAAAGCTCTAGACCTACAAGAGAGTTGACACACGGAGGAAGGCAACTAGAAGCAGCTTTATCGCCCGGGCTCCTGCCCTGGGGCCATGTTAACCAAATAGTAGGGGCTGATTGGCTCTAAGAGGTGGAGCGAGATGTCCATTCTGGTCGGATTCTGGAACTGGTGTGTGGAGCAGATTTTTCCACATGGGTTTGAACCCTGGGTATGAAGGGGGCCAAGCAAAGGTTTATACCTGTGCAGGGAGCTGAGTGTGTTTGAGATCTCACTTGAGCCCAGAGCTGTGGGCTTCGGCAGGACCGATGCGATTTTGCAAGCCCTTCTGGGATGTCTTCCTCTGTGCTGATATCCAGATCCACACATCCAAACTCCAAACATTTGAAGCTGAGTTACCAGGCAAAGCAAAAACCCTTGAAAATCCCAATGTACAAAACATTCTTGTCGGCCCCAGCAGCTAAGTTATGTGGAACTTTGGGGCAATCACTTGATGATTTGCTAGCACTTTGTGACCACCCACCCTAGTCACCAACATGCTACCTTGCTGAGGCGGCTGGGCTGGGTAGCCACTGGTCCTCAGGGGGTCTTTCTGTCCCTACCGTAGTTACGGCTACAATGACATTGTCACCATCCCAGCTGGTGCTACTAACATCGATGTGAAACAACGAAGCCACCCGGGGGTCCAGCACGACGGCAGCTACCTGGCGCTGAAGACGGCCGATGGGCAGTACCTGCTCAATGGAAACCTGGCCATCTCTGCCATAGAGCAGGACATCTTGGTGAAGGGGACCATCCTTAAATACAGCGGTTCCATTGCCACCCTGGAGCGGCTGCAGAGCTTCCGGCCCCTGCCCGAGCCTCTGACCGTGCAGCTCCTGACTGTCCCTGGTGAGGTCTTTCCCCCCAAAGTCAAATATACCTTCTTCGTTCCAAATGACGTGAGCTTCAGCACACAGAACAGCAAAGAGAGGGCAACCACCAACGTCATCCAGCCCCTGCTCAACGCGCAGTGGGTCCTGGGGGACTGGTCTGAGTGCTCCAGCAGCTGCGGAGCTGGCCGGCAGCGGCGGACCGTGGAGTGCCGGGACCCCAACGGCCAGGCCTCTGCCACCTGCAGTGAGGCTCTGAAACCCGAGGATGCCAAGCCCTGTGGAACCCAGCCGTGCCCGCTGTGATCCCTGGGGTGGGGGTGGGGGGGTGGGGGGGACGGGGCCGGTCTCGTGCTCATGGACTCGGGGTGCTGGGGTGCAGACCGGCGTACCCACTGCGGTGACCCGACCTATGGAGGCGGCATGGCCTATCCAGGCCTGCCATTGCCACAGCCACTCCAATTTGGCATGAATTCACGATGGGGAGACGAGAATGGGGACGATAGATCCTAAAGTCTACTATCTGGTGGGTTGGACCTAGTGCGGGTTCAGGTAGAGGTTATAGGTGAAAAGGTAAAAAATGCACTTATTGACCCAAACGGGAGACTCAGCCTGTTTGCAAGGGACTAGCAGAGTTCAATGAAAAAAATTTTTCCTGTTTGGTTTCCCCGATAAATAATCTACCTCAGAGGGGAAAAACAATTAGTAAAAGAGAGGTGCAGAGTGGGGAGGTCGATGACGAATGTCAAAGCGCCATAGCTGCGCCCCCGGGGCTGTCTTCAAAAATGAACGTGACTGTCCTCGGTATTCAAATCCATCGCCTGCAGGGCTGCAGAGTCGCAGGACTGTGGAGAGCCACGGGTTCTCGGGCTTCCACCTGCAGGGGTGGATCCATTTCAAGTATTTATGCAAATGTGTCTCTGAACTAAAGTGTGATCTTGTGCCAATGCAGTGGTCTGAGCTGGTTCAGTATTTCTTTGGAAAGGGCAGAGGACCCAGAGCCCAAGGACAGAGGCGAAAACTAGGTCAGCAGACCTTGAACACACCTGGGGAAGTTGGCACCTTGCTTCCGTCTCTCGGGCCTTCCTCCTGCTGAATCCGGCTCACTCGAGCAACTCTTCTTTATAATCTAGACCAGTGGTTCCCAAACTCGACTGGGCATTAGGATCATCTAGAGGGATTCTTAAAATACAGATTGCTGGGCCCTACCCCAAGAGCTTCTGATTCAGTGGGTTGCCGGGGGGGGGGGGGGGGGGGTGGGCAGGGGGTCCTGAGAATCTGCATTTCTAGAAAGTTCCCAGGTGATGCGGAGCCTGCTGGTTTGAGAACCACCGCGCTAGAGGAAATGTCCGACTCGGAGGCAACAGTGGCAAACGTGATGTCTCTGGACTCATCATTCTTGAGGAAGACGATCCCATTCCACTCTGCAAACATCCCATCCTCCCTTTGATATACCGACCAGCCAGAGATCCCAGATTCTCTTAGGACCTGAGGAATGCTGGACTGTATCTAAGCACCATCATCCCAAGGACCTCAGCTCCTTCTCTTCATATCAAACTTTATCCCCACCTCACAACTCTTCTGGCCCCAACAACGTGCAAGGGTTCCATTCAGCCCTTTCTTTCTTTTTTTTTTTTGAGAGAGAATGCATGCACACATGTGCCTATGTGAGCAGGGGGTGGGGGGGGCGGCGGAAGGAGCAGAGGGGGAGAGAGAGAGAATCTCAAGCAGACCCCACGTCCAGTGCAGCATCTGATGTGGGGCTCAATCTTACGACCTTGAGATCATGACCTGAGCGAAATCAAGAGTCGGACACTTAACGGACTGAGCCATCCAGGCTCCCCCCATCGGCCCTTTCTACGCAGAACTGCATTTCCCACCTGCCACCTGAAACCTACCCGAGAGCCCCCAAAATCCCATCTTCCACTCCATATCTCCTCACCTCTTCCTGGCTCAGTCTTCCATATGGTCTAGTGTAGAGGAAGCGTAGTCATTGGTCACAAATGGGCGACATGAAGCAGGCGACCACATCAAGGACTGACATTCTAGTGAAAAGAAGGAACGTATATACATTTACATCTTCCCTTTTTTTTATCATCTTTGACCCCTTTGTCCTTTTCTTTCACTTTCTCTCAAGACCCCTTCAAATAACTGGTGAGGCTGGGCAGAGAAGGTGCTATATGGAGCCCTGGGGTGAATGAGGAAAAAGGAGCCCTCTGGGAGGACTGGCCCTGGGGGCACGAGACAAAACAAGGGGGATTTCAGCCCCTACCGTGCCCTCGGCTGGTCGCTGCTGGTCACCTCTGTGTGGTGCACACTGTGGCCTTCGACATGGAGTTGGCCACTTTTCCCCTGTCTGCTGACTCGTTAGGGAGTGGGAGGCCAGGCTTACCTAAACATAAACAAGCACACACACAGGCATGTTGAGGATGACTAGTAAAACCAGATTTTTCCTTGCTGTGCACCAGTTTTGTTGAAACTGATGTATGTTTCTGCAACTCTTCATCTACTGTTTCTCATTCTCCCCAAAATAACCAAGGCTAGGAGTGTCCCCCATGAACTGCCCATATCAGTCCAGTGGTGCCATCCCTACTGGCAGAGCGTTTGCCCTGGAGTTCAGCTTGCGGCAGAGCGGCTGATGTGCAAAGCAGAATGGAATCCAGCTTGGCTCTTCCTTGCTGTGTGGGCTCGGCCAGGCTCACAGAATACATACTTGTTTGTGTCTGGAAATTCAACAGCTGCAGTGCAGGGACTCGGCAAATAGATCTGCAGAGAGAGACCACACCATTATTTCCCCTGGCCAACCTCGACCACTCTTTTAGCCCAGAGAAGGGAAGAATACATTTCCTCTGCTGAGAGTTTGCATTTTCCAGCTAGTACTAGCGTCCCCTAAAGTCCTTAAGGCCCTGACTCGACAGGTAACTGCAGCAGTCATTCATCTGGATCCTCCAAACACCTGCCAGAAATATTTCAGAGGTGGTGCGTTAGCATCAAAGTTCATTTCTTTCATCCTCAGGATCAGTGCATCCTTGCCTGGGGTTTACTCTCTGCCCTTTATTCCCCTGTAGCTGAACAGAAGGATTTGTTCCAAAACTATGCAACATTACTGCTCCCCAGCCCACTTTAGCAAACCATCCCCCTCCCAGGAACATGGTCCAGAGGTGATGGGACCATCTTCCCACTAGCTCCACGCTCCACATCTTGCCCCTCTGATGATGTTCACTAGGTTCTTCGTGTTTGGGCTTTTTAACCAAGTGGGCCCTCATAATAAGGACTGTCCCTCCTCCCAGGGTCTGAGTCTCCCCTGAGTGAAGGAAAAGAGGCTCCTGAGCCCACAGCAATCTCTGCTCCACGTGCTCTGCCTCAGATCACCAAGCCCCTTCGAAAAGCAGCCATGTCCCCTTCACTTCGGGGAATGAGGAATGGTTTGTGAGAGTGAACAAAAATATGGAATCTACCAGTGAGAATCAGATGTAGTATTATCCTTAGGTTCCCAGATTTCTGCTGCCACGGCCTTATCCCTTCCTTGCGCCTCTTCGGTCAGTTGAAGCTCAATTACGGGATATAGAGCCAAAACAAAGCATGAGGTAGAGTGAGCATGAGGAGGACAATGAAGGCAACATTTTAGGCAAGGTTAAGCTACCGTCCCCGACACCTGTCCTTCTCCGCCCTGACTCTGCTCTGCTCTATGCAGAGTGAGAGGGAAGGCGCTAAGTAAAGAGAAGCGTATCCTCCTCGCCAGCATTCCCCACCCCAAGGCCTCGAGCAGTTGTGCCCATGGGCGCCAGGACAGAAGGCAGAGAAGGGGAGGGAGGGAGCCCCACTCCCGCCCTTGAGAACTATGAATGGGTTTGCTCACCTTCGGTGGCCCTTGGCTGCAGGACAGTATGTCTGTGAGAAAGCTCTCTTCTGGCACAGCGTATTTTCCTGTGGTCCTTCAAGAAAGCTACATGTGGAAGGTGAGAGAGAGAAGTCATTCACCTAAGCTGACATTCCTGCTGGTTCCATTTAGATCATCATGAAAGTGATATATTGGGGTCATGTTGGGCTCACATATGAAAAAATTCTCAGCAAGAGAAAATAACACACTGAAGGGAAGTGAATGTTGGAGCGCTGAGTGAGCAGAGTGCTTGGGTTGTGACCTCCACGCCCTCCCTGCCTCACTGGTACCACATCAGCCCTCACCAGACACCTGTCTGCTTCCTAGGGTAAGCCTTGCCAACAACCTGGCCAGGCTTATCACAATAGATGTGATCCCTTCACAGCTTGGCTCATTCTTCTTCAGGAGGTAGTTGGCCTCCCTTGCTTAAAATTGAGCCCACACCTCTCAAAAACTAAATTAAAGGGCTCCTCACAGACACTGCCCAAGTGTTGGGAAGAGAAAAGTGAGACCAAATGTAGAAGTGTCTTCTGAACCATAGATGCTAGTGCAGGGAGAGAGAAATACAGGAAGCTTCAAAGCCACCTGTCTCTTGTAGAACACACTTTCCCTCAGGCCTTGGGCTGAGCGAGGAGACACAGGAAAATTCTGGCTAGTCTTCCATCCCCATGAGCTAACCAGCCTACCCCTGGCAGATACACACTTGCCCCAGGAAAGGAGTGAGTAAAGAAGCCTTCCCCAGACCTCACCGTTCCTCATTCCAAACTTCTTGCAAGTCCCAGGGTCACTGGAAGAGTTTGTCCTTAGCCAAACACAACTTCCTGTTTCTAAGAAAGGGCAGGGGGAAAATAAGTTGAAAGAGGTTTTGGACACTGGAGATTTCGAATTTCAGTAAACGCAAATGAATCAGACACATGTGGAAAAAATTTCTCCGGAAGTAAGAAAAGATGCTGTGAGTTCCCTTTGCTGGACCAGGAAGTGGGAAAAGGGTAGCTGAGGTAGGATGTACAGCAGAGGCTGACAGAAGAGAGAAAAGCCATGTGAACGTTGGATCAGGGAGAGGGTCCCGGTGATGACAAGGGTCAGTGTGGGCCCTCCCAAGGCCACATCCCCCACTTCCTTACCACTCAGAACTTCTCCGCCTCTGAAGTCATAAATTTAAATATCCTGCTACCAACCATGACCTCCTATCCTTCCAGATCTCTCACTAGCTCCCACTAAATTTATTCTAGGGACCCCCGGATCCTTAACCACCTCCATACATACACATTGCCCGGTCTTTATACCTCCTCGGTCTCCCCTTCGTCTCTCCCTGTGGTGTTTAGACTCCATGTTCCAGAACCTTCACCTCAGTCTTGCCAACAGCCCCAACTTCCTTGTCCCACTGACATTCTGTGGAATTCAACAAGCAGAGCCTCACTCCAGA